AGACACGGTCACTTATAGCCAAATATAACCTTATTACAACGACACATGATGTATTATACCATCTCGTTTTTTATTTAACAATTAAGCCAAATAAAGAAGCAGTGTGTGAAAACTTCAGCAGACACAGTTGCAACATTCAATGAATTTCATTCACTTCTAATCCCCACTTGGTTTAAATACCTGGAACTCTCCACCTTTTGGTTTTACGACTGAAGTCTCTTGGATGCGAGGTAATATGTCCTCGAAAAAAACTTAAAGAAGTCCAGTCACCTTCTTGTCAAGCTTTTACGAATACGGGACGAATACGGGACCTGGATTATTAAAAACCTACATACTTTAGGAGGTAGAGCAGCTCAATTACTAAATGGAAGTTTGGTGGTTTGAAAAAGGTGCATGTATAAATGAATGAATCAAGCAAGTTGGAGTGCTCAAGTACAGCAGAAAGGTGCTATATAAGAACCAGTCCATTTACCATTCAGTCATCTCTTCACCACTGGGCTTGACAACTGGTATAAGGAGTTTGTGCTGATGTTTTGTGTTTGGCACTGTTTATTATAGCCAAATATCTCCACTTTGGCCTTCACTGTCCAAAAAATATTGTTTGGGCTGAAGTCGCATGTCTTGTGATGTGTTCAGATAGAGCTTTGCGCACCGAAGATGCGGTCACGCACTTTTTCTAAATCTTTTTCTAACTGTACGGTTGTGAACATTTCATATGTGAGTCCCCAACTGAGGCCTTTAAATTCTGAGATGTAGCTTTTGGGTTTTTTGCCAATCGCTGAGAATTCGATGGTATGACATGAATTCGCTAGGCTGTCCACGCCTGGGAGTATAAGCAAGTGTACTGCATGTTTTCCAGTTGTGCATAACCTTTCTCACTGTAGACTGATTGCCCTTGAATTGTTTGGAAATGACCATATAATTATTTCTATATCATTACATTGTTTCTCTGTCAATGTGGTTCAAAGTCCTTAGCACTGTCTGCCAAACATGTAGCAGTGTACTGTCATGGTCCAGCCTCCGTGTCTGCATCCTCGTCTGATCCAGCCTCCGTGTCTGCATCCTCGTCTGGTCCAGCCTCCGGGTCATCATCCTCACCTGCAGCAGCAGCCTCATCATCACCCCCGCCTGCAGCATCAGCATCAGCTTTGTCCAGGCCTGGGCTAGCTTCAGCTTCATTGGCTTCCGCAGCTGCCACACTTCCGCCCGGTCCTGCCTCGCCCGGTCCTGCCTCACCCGGTCCTGCCTCGCCCGGTCCTGCCTCGCCCGGTCCTGCCTCTGTGTCTTCATCCGCACCCGCAGCAGCAGTTTCATCCTCATACTCGCCTGCAGCAGCAGCTTCAGCTTCACCCGCTTCGCTTGGTCCAGCCTCTGCTTCAGCTTCACCCGCTTCGCTTGGTCCAGCCTCTGCTTCAGCTTCACCCGCTTAGCCTGGTCCAGCCTCTGCTTCAGATTCACCCATTTCACCTGGTCCAGCCTCTGCTTCAGCTTCACCAGCTTCGCCTGGTCCAGCCTCTGCTTCAGCTTCACCCGCTTCGCCTGGTCCAGCCTCTGCTTCAGCTTCATCCGCTTTGCTTGGTCCAGCTTTAGCTTCGCCTGGTCCGGCTTCGCCTCCGCCTGGTCCAGCTTCCGCTTCAGCTTCAACTTCGCCTTCGGCCTCCGGCCTGCCTTCATCTGCCTCGCTGCCGTTGCCGTCCGCACGGTCGACCCCCTGAACTGTTTGCCCCTTGCCGCCATTGCCGTCCGCACGGTCGGCCCCCTTAATTATTGATGGACTCTACGCACGTTTTGTTTTTGGACTCGGTCCCTCCATCCTGGACCTCCCACCGGTGACCCAGCGCTTTAAGTTTATTATTATCATTTTCTAGTTTATTCTGATTTTATATTAGTTCTTTGGGTTTGTTCGTCGTGTTTATTATCCCTACCTGTGTCTTCCCTCTGTGCTCTGTTCGGGTCCCCGCGTTTGTGTTGTAAAATAGTCTGTGTGTTTCCTGTTTTACTTTGTAGGTCCGTGTCTCATTATGTCCATGAGTCCAAGCTGTGTGCCTACCTGTTCCTCGTTTCCTAATGTGCCTGCCAGTGTATTTTAGTCCTTGTCAGTTAGTTCTTGTTGTCGCGTCGTTAACGGCGGTTCCCCTCTCGTGCTGTGTTTTCTCTCTTGAGTTATATTCTTGGATTTCCGAGTTTAGTTTGTTATTGTTTTGTATTCCTTCCAAGCCTGCATTAAAGCAGAGTTTTTGAGTTCACATTTTTCCTCTAAGTCCTGCATTTTGGGTCCAATTCCTGCCTGCCACACTGCATTCTTGCACCATATAGAAATAGAATATTGACAACATTGTTACATTTGGCTATGGTAAATATAATAGCTGAAGCTATTCAGATTAGCTTAGGTTAGCTTAGCATAAAATCAGATATTGTCTTCGAAACCAGAAATATTAGCACATTACTGTTCTTACACACTGGCTTTTATACATATTAAAGGTAATGTTTTAATTAGTCAGATATAGCATTATGCTAGCACTTTGGTCATTTACAAGGCTTAATGCTAAACTAAGCTAACTATACATTGAGCTATCCATCCTTTTTTTTTTTACTTTTGTGTTTGTTTTTTTAATTGGGGTCACAGACTTAACTAACAATTATGTATTGATTCAGGTAAAAAAAAACCATTTAAAAGTATTTCTAGTTGCCCTTTTGGTTTATTGAAGCTGGCTACAAAGAAAGTTTCAATTTTTATATTCTAAGTTAGGCTAAACACATTCTGCTCAATTTAATTTCCAGACACTAGAGTTAGATATTCTCATATCTAAGTGTCATTAGGAATGCTTCTGCTAAACTAAAACTAAAGAAACTAAACTAAAGGAATTAAACTGAAACTATTATCTTTTTGAAATTCCTAAAAGATACGCAAAGTGTTTGAGCCACCCTGATGCCACACTAAAGACTACTTAAAAGGCCAAGTTATGCCAACAACAGTTTATAGCGGCCATCTGCTGGTCGCAGCAGATGGCCGCCGCTCCATGAGCCTGGTTCTGCAAGAGGTTTCTTCCTGTTAAAGAGTTTTTCCTTCCCACCGTTGCCAAAGTGCTTACTGTTGGGTTTTTCTCTGTATGTATTATTGTAGGGTCTACCTTAGAATATAAAATGCCTTAAGGCGACTGTTTTGGTGATTTGTCGCTGTATAAATAAAATTGAACTGAACGGAATTAAAGATGACTGATGCCTCCTGTCAAAAGCAGCATTGTATATAAGGACATTATTAGTTAAAGAATTTTTAAAATAGCCTCTATGATTTAATAAATTTGCTCTGAAATTAAGTTTTGAGTTATTCAAACACTAAGATTTGAGCTTTATCTATTTCTAATGTTACCAAAGTTTTAGTTTCCATGTGAAATTATTGTATATACGTGTGAATGATAAATTTGATTTATCTTCCATTCTATCGCAGAGTTTAATTTAGTTACTGTTGTCATTACTTAATAAAACAGGGTTCTAATATTTGTATTTATTCACAATATCTTGTAATGTGAAAGTCATCAAAGTGCCCCTGTCAGTTTAGACAGGGGCACTTTGTACTCAGTCTTGTCCTCAGTTTGGCTCTTGGCCCACAGTTGCATAAACAATATTTTGTCAGAGCAAATAGCATGCACATATCAAACCTATCCTCCATGGTTTTTCTTCTCATACTCCTATATTTGGCTCATACTCTCAAAGGCATTTCACAGATATAAAGCCTTCACATAGATTATCTGTTATTATTTATTTTTGTTAACCTATTGTAGATGCCAGCCAAATGCAGGTGACGTGTGATTATTGCAACCTAAAATAGTCAACATCTGTTTAGCAAGCAATCTAATTGAAGATCTGAACCAAATACAGCTGCTATATTATTGCAGATTAACAGCTTTTTAACAGCAAAGAATGTGAGAACACCATCTGAGGCATCAGTAAATCTATCTGATCATTTACTTTTAATTACTTCCTATTGTTCTGAGAAGCACAATAGTACCAGTAAAGCAATGCAGGCCTGCATTCAATTTTATAATATCTACTCATTCATTCATTCTGCCTTAGTAAGACAGATTCGTTTGCAGTGTTGAGCTATTTTTTTTACAGTTTCTTATGCAGATGAGGGCTTCCCTCCACCCCCACAAAAAACACAATATTTGCGGTCTCTAACATTTGTTTTTTGTGAAGCTTTAGATTTCCTAAAATTTTCAGTCTTAAGTTGGAAGTCTACTCAACACTTTGCACTGTCACCTCATGGCAAGAACAACACAGTTTGGATGATCTCCCCGAGCATGTGCGGGTTTTCTCTAGTTTTCTTCTCACCGTTGCTTGTGGTGTAGATGTGAGATCAATACAGGACTTAAAATACAGAGAATAGAGTGGTGTATGCATGTATGCATAACAGTGGCTTATAGTATATAGGGTTTAAAATCTTTTTCTAAAACTCTTTACCATTTATTTCAACTGCAAACTCTACACATACACCAAACACAAAATCAACATTAGTACACCCAGCTAACGTTTTGGTGTTGATTGATCATCACTATCCATTCAAGATAGCTGAAATAAAAAATAACAGTGAAACTTATGCAGACATCCAGCATGTTACCTGGCCACCTGCTTGATGTCATTCAATAACTTTTTAGTACTAGGAGGCTTTTTTATCCAAATTTTTGCATGTGATTATTTTTTCATTAAGACTAAAACAAAGCAAACAAGAAATACTTACAAAGGGGGAAACAATATATTAGACAGTTGTGTAAATCTATTCCCTGCAAGCTAGAATTGTACCCAGCAGTTTTTTCGCTGCTAACACTACTACTACTTTTTCCTACTGAGCTATACAGCCATCCCACACCAGACTGACTCTATAACCTTACAGTACCTGCCTCTTATCAGAAACCAACTGATGACTGAGGGGTTGGAGCAGTCCACTGACCATGCAAAACAATAAGAAAGTCATATAGTTTGCATTATTCTGTGTTACTCACCACTTCTTTAGTTTCTTGGGAACTTTGTTCCTGCAATTAAAAAAAATAAATAACAAGAAATCACTTAATGGGACAAAAGCATGACACGCAAGAACATTACTGTCAGCCAAAATGGTCTGTGAAAAACATACCTTAGCACATAAACTTTGAGTGTAACAACTCAAAGGCAGCAGACATTGAAAACCAATAATGCATTTGAATGCAGCGCTTGCTGTTGTAAATTAAACATACTCCCATGCATGACCCTGGAAACCTGGTAACACAGTAGAACGGTACACAATTGTACCGGTTTTTTATAGCCACGTCGTTTGCTGAGAAGTCCCTGAGATTCTCACTATATTAACACCTCACATACTCATACACATCCTGATGAAACCATGACAACACTTGCTATGAGCTATGTAGGAGGAGGGATGGGGAAACAGCAATGAGCTACAATGACAGGGAAACGACTCCACTGCAATGGCACTGCGGGGAAACGGAACATCCCATCCCATACCACATCAGCCCCATCAGGCTTCACTGTACACCATAAGCTGCGGAAAACTAAGTCCTCATGTAACACAGCTACAAATAGAACAAACAATGAGAGTATTGATTTGCCTCTATTTGGTGCTTTTTTTAAATGGTGAGCACAAAGCAGCATATTTCATATCTCCTCTGGCACTGACAGTGCTTCCAAGGCAGCTGACATTTTTTTTCTCCACACAATCTCACCTGAATGCTAATGAGGAGAGGCTGACCGCAGAACCAGGCTGTGCCTTCAAGTGTCTCAGTGTGTTGCATGTGTTTGTTTGTGTGTAACTCTGCCATTGGGTTTGTTAATTTGCTATACTACAGATGCATGTATTCCTCAGTCAATTTTTTTTTGTGCTGCATCTCTCTGTCTATAACTGTATTGACAGTAACACCTACACATGAGATAGAATATGATTACTGCACATAAATTCCTGCATGATACAGTCAATTTGCCGAATATGATATTTTCAAGTCATAAAAATCCAGTCTCTCCTGTCTCTGTCTCCTCACTGCTAGGATCAAACACTTTATGCTCATCTCACTGTATCATCTTGAGATGATGTGTACTTAAAGCAACAGCTTGGCAGTAGATTTTCATATAGATAAGAAAACTGGGTCGAGGGGGTAGCCAGCCCATATGATTTCTACACAAGAAGCAAAGAACCCATGAAATACAACTAGCCTCATCACAAATGCCTCCTGTGTGAAGGCGTTTGGATATGAAGGATGTGAACATCTTCTACTCGGATATACATGCAGTGCACAAGGGAACTGCATCCCCTATATATGATGCGCAACATCCATGTTAGTCGTGATATAGTCATGCGTCATATAGCCGGCAAAGCGTCCGAATATTGGTCATTTTGAAGCACGATTATAATAAAAATGAATCATTCATTTATCACGTGCTTGCGCCTGTCTTATTCCAAAGAGGTAAACACTGAGCACCAACAGTACATTATGATTTCAACAAGATTATCAGTTAAATTTTAAAGAACTGAACACAAATACTGCAAGTACGTGAATATTTAGCCTTACCGTTGGCAAGAGCGGCTCCATTTGAGCTCCTTGATCCGTGATGTCCATCTTTTCTTCTCCTTGGCTTCACAACAGGCAAGTCGTGATGCGCTACTCCGCCTCTGTCAAATGCGTCTCGAAAACGAGGATGGCTTTTTGTTGTAGCTGATTTGATGTCTCTTTTCTCCCTCGTATTCACCGGGTGGGTTTGATCAAATGGAGGTAGCAAAGCATTGCCGTCCTGCCCTACATAATTTACGCACGAAGGAGGGAGGTAGTGCTTCCCATTACACGCGCTCACCCCGGGACGCGGCGGTGATGAGCACACAGGCGAGTGAGCATACAGGGATTCATTTGTGAATACATATTTATAGTCATTTGTAGTCGTTAAGACACGCATAACTATGTTCGGCCAAACAGTCTATTGTTTCAATTGGATCTGTGAAAAAAACATTCAATGTATTTCAGTAGGGTGCAGTTTAAATACTGTACTGTACTGCGTGCGTTATTAATATCTAGTTTAACCGCGACAGCAATCAATACAGCAATGGAGCAATGTCTGCTTGTTTGGTGTTACCCATGTGGATTTTCTCAACCACTGCGCCATACACAGGCCCCCTCCACCCTGAAAACAGCCGCAGCCATTGTCATTATTTTCTTCTCATTTCAGATATAAACATATAACGCATAATATTACGTCAAATGCCCATTACCACTATCCAGAACATCTTACACACCGGCTACAGAAATGCTCCGGTCATTCCATCATTATTTCTAGCTGCAGCACGCCATGCTGTGCCTGTGCCGGAGTTCACGTTTGACCAGGATGCCGCTGCAGTGAAGTTTATACCGGGGTGCCCTCCTCTGGTGGCCATAGAAAACCGTTGCAATTAGATTTAGCCTATATTCATAATGCAACTGTTTAATCTCACTTAAGAGTAACACAAGACAATAGCATGAACGTCAGTACTTAAGTACTTACCTAAGTAATCAATATTTAAGTTGATGGTGGCATTTAATGATGATCAGGCTACAGTGAACTGCTTTCTAAGGCCAAACCCATCAACTCTTGGATTCCTTGTCAAACTTTTGCTTGAAGCAGGGGGGAAATTGCCCCCGCCTTTTTATTTTAAGTTTTGCAACTCTTTGAACTACAAGTAAGCAAGCCTGCAGTCTGAGACTGAAATCTATTATTTGGGATATTATGAGTTCTTTAGGCTATGATGGAGTTTGATCATGCATAAATATGGCAGAAAATGAAATAAATTCTATAGGCTGATATAGGTTGAATAAGGAATATGTGGAACTCTCTTCCCCCAGATATAATAAACAGCGGTTCTGTTCAAGTCTGCATATTCACTGTAAACTTATTGTTTGTTTATTTTATCTTCTACTATGTTTTTAATTCTACTAAGCGTCCTTGGGTGTCTTGAAAGGTGGTTTTAAATAAACTGTATTAATATGGAAAACTTTGAGTTTCATCGTAAAAGGTCAGGCCTACCAAGCTGGTTTTGTTTATAGTAAATGATTAAATAAAAATAATAATTTAAGAAGAAAAAAAAACAATGAAAGAAAGACGACATATTCATTTTTTTCTCGTATTCAATGATCCTTCCAAATAAGGGGCATATTACTTTTATCTTACCGTTATCTTAACATATGATCGCGTGATGAATAAATAGTAATAGTGAATAGTGAGTATATTTGTCAGATTACACAGATTATGCATTCAATGCCGAAAAAACTTATTAGGACTTAACATGTCTGAATTTTGACATAACGCCTTAATGGGAACATTAAAATAAGTATGTTTGCACTTTAAGGCATTTTAAGACAAGGTACTGCTATTTGGTCTTTTTTAAAAACGCTACGTTTATGAATTATTGACAGTTTTTGTTCTTTGCCGTAAAGCGGTGTTACCAGAACAGGCCAAACAGAACTTCTTAGATGAGATTCTGTGGTTTAAATATGGATCCTTTTTATTAGTATTAAACTCGCACTCAGTCATTCAAAAAAGAAAAGACAAATAAAGTCTGGGAGCCCAGGATCAATCCAGCTGCCATCAACACCTGCTAGGTGGGAGAGAAGTAAAGATGCTGCTGCTGATTCGGATCCGGATCCGCCCAGTCAGGCGTCACGGCACCGACAAGATGGCCGAGAGTACGGGACGAAAATGAGGGAGGAAACAAAAACACTGGTGACACTATCCTTGCTGTGGATGCCAGACCTGTAGAGCAGCGGGTGACGAGTTAGTGCAAAGATATAAGCTGGGTTGCTTAGAGTTTCTGTTCTGTGGGTGACATTTGCCGTATGCAGACGAATTGTAGTCCAAGCTGACGGAACGTTTGGCAGGTCGTCTGCGTTGGCCAGGGAGCTAACCCGCTAATCATGTTAGCTAGCTGACGACACCGTTAGCTAGAGAATACGATTTGAGAAAGTGACATCAGGTTAAATTTGAAATACACAGTCGTCGCTGCTACTTTATTACAGATATCATTTTTTCGCAAACGGTATTACTTCTACGAGTGAGAAAATTAATTTAACACACTAGTTAACACTTAGCCTTCTGGTTAGTAAGCTAACATTGCGGATTTCTTCAGAGTTAGCGTTAGCAAACGTTGGTTAGCGTGCTCAGCTGTTTTGGGTGTCTTAGGTTGTTCGGATACAGAAAAAGTGCATTAGTTCGTGTGCAGGAAGGACATTTTATTGTCCTGTTTGAGAGTAACCGGGGGTATTCTGAGCAGATCTGGGTAGCTAGGTGTGCTGCAGGAGCGCTGTGGGGCATTAACGGCACCACAGCCGGGACTGTAAACACAAGTGAAACCGATCAGACCTCAGCCCTGCACTACAGAACCAGTCAGCATCACCATGGCCCATTCTCCCGTTCAGGGTAACCTGCCGGGGATGCAGGTAAGTTAAATGTCTGTGGAGTCTGTCCGCAATAGGTAGTCGAGATGACTGTCAGAACAGAATTTAAATCGTTTGCCTCCCTGCTGTGAGTTTGTACTCCCACTCGGCTCAGTGAAGTGAAGCGTTTAAGTACTCTGGTACATCGCGTCAATTCGCCTCATGCTCGAGGTAGAACATTCCATTATTAGTGAACTGGGCAGAATAAATCGGAGGTACATATTCTCTAAAAGCTACCAAAACACATAGACTTGCGTGTGCCGAGGGTAAGTTAATTAACCTTTCTGCTCCATGTGTTTTCATTGTTAGTATCACTGACAACAAGTCTACTATTTAATGACACATATTTTGAATTGCAAGAGGTAAAATTCGGATATTTCAGTCATGACTTGAAGGAAATATTGAGCTCTCACGTGCCGTTGTGCAGAGACGTGCAAGCTGGAACTTTGTTCCTGCATCTCACGTATCCTTACTGCGCCTGTAGAGCTTGTGTTGGGCAGATGACTAGAGCAGATAACTGTTCCTAATGTAAACTGCCTCACGCACCAGATTATGCTGTCTTTGCAGGCTTGTTAGTAAACACAAGATGCATATCAAAAGTAGAGAAGCTTTTGGGATTAGCCAACGGCTACCTCAGTTAATACATAGTAACTCATACTGAAAGTATACAAAGGTTAGGTTTATGTTATATGAGTCTGCACAACACTAAAGCACGCTAAATCATCGTTGTTGCCTGCCAGTCCACAATTTGGAGAAATTGTAACACATTTTACTCGCAGAGTTAATGGTTTTTCCTTGGAAAATTGGATTTAAAGGCACCCTTTGACAGAAGGGTTCCTCCTTGTATAAACCAGTGGCTTCATTTTTTAGTAATCTCAAAATGGACACATTGACCCTGCCTTTGCTCAGAGAGGTCAAAAAAGGAAGTTGTTTTTGTTGGTGCCTAGTCCTGTGTTTCCCACATAACAGCCTCTTGAGAATTCAGTAATTTTAGTTCACTTCCTGTGGTGTTAAAGGTTTTTTCATACCCCACTCAGATACACTCAGTGTTACTATCCACCGGCCCCACCGATACAGTTTTCAGTGAATTCACTAAGCACACTTTCAGTTTTTCCATCATAAGCACTCCAGAGTGTTAAGCTTTTCTGTGTGACTGCTCAAACGATTTAAAATCAGGCAAAAGCAGTTACTCAGTGTTAAACAGGCAGCATGTAAAACTTGTCAAAGGAAATAAGACGTACAAGAGCTGTGTATGATATCACAAAAATACCTGTACAAATTTTTACATGAGATAAATATGTCATATGGTGATATCATTAATATAGTAATGCTATGCGTTTACATTCCCTACTGTGGTCTTGTCTGAGAACCATGTGTCAGTCTCTGACAGCGGGTTAGTACCTAAAAAGGAGCTACTTAAACTGTCTCTAACAAAGCACAGCACTTTGTAAAATATGTAAGAACAGTGTTACCACAAAAGCTGGAAATGACAAATGTGTTTCACCACGTGAGGCAGAAACAGTGTTAAGTGCGACCAGGCTATGAAGGAGGAGATGCTAGCAGGGCTTTAAGTATTTAAGATACAACATTCTAGATAGAAAGTATTTTTAAAGTATTACAAAAATTTTCTTGTATCATGAGCTGTATCACACCCTCTACCACCTACACACATACAACTGCTTGAGCTGCTCAATCATGGCAACCCATGTCAAGAAGCTCCCAATGCAAATTTTTTGTGCTGATGTTGAACTTACTGAGTCAGCAGAGTGTTAGTAACTAAGCCTCAGCACTTGGCGACCCTGCTGTGCAACATTACATGCTCTGTCACTTTGTCAATCCGTTGCTGTGGTTCCTAAAGGCTTACATCTTTTAATATTAGCTCTTAGAAATTTCTTCGTGCCTAGATATTTCACTGTAACTAATGTGTTAATCACACTCAAATTCATTGAGCTCTTTAGAACAGCCCATTCTCTCACAACCGTTTGTAAAGGCAGGCTGCTTGGCTAGGTGCTTGATTTGTATACACCCGTGCATATGTGACTGAAAACATTTGAATTCAGAATGGTGTGGCCCAATACTTTTGTCTGTATAGTGTATGTATCTGTATGCTTATATACTGTATATGATATATGAGTAATGACATGAATGTATGATTCATGTTAAGTAGCCCTGATCTCCAAGTCCCCTTGAAAGCCTCATACGGGTTGATTGACTTAATCTTAGATGTTTTTACTGCAGTCAGACTTAAGTCCTCAGCGTATTAAGATTTTTAATGTGTGTTTATACATGCTGCCTCAGAGAGTCCAAAGCAGAGCTACAACGTTTCATTTACTAATGATCATGAGAACAGTAACTCAGCCTTTTCGAAAGTTTAATTTGGTCATTGTTTTTCTCTTCTATATGTTTTTTTTTGGGGGGGGGGGGGTTC